CCCATTTAAGAAAGAAACGGGATGCAGTGTTGGCATGAGAAGGAGAAAGTAAAAATTGAACCTCACGTTTCCATTACATCATCAAATGAAAATTGGAATTTGATTTCTTAAGGGACAACTTACTCAACACTAGTTAGTGTTAAATATTAATTAACAGAGGACGGTAGTTTCTCACCTAATTGTATAGTCAGATGACAACACTAACACCTGTCTTTGAAATACTACCTTATTTTTTATAGTATATTGGAGGTTAGTTATTTGACAATATAAAATTTTAAATTTTTAATTTTATCTTCAAACTAAGGTTATTTTTGCTCATAAAAATGAAACACTATTCCCATTAAATGTTGTTAATTATATGTTGAAAATAATTTATGTATGACAGAAAATTTTTGTTTATTAAAATTACATAATTTTGAAGTATGTTGAGATATATATATATAGCAATAGTAAAGGTGAATTTTACTACTTAAAAAATTAAGAAATTTCCCATTTAACACTGTGTTGTTTCAGTATACACGTGCAAGAATGGGTTTGAATTTGAATTGTGAGTGATATATGTCTCTACCAACTCCAACTAATAGATTGTGTTCAAGTTCCTAAGGGTCACATAGATCTCAACTTGAGTTATTTGGCGGATAGAAGTTTCAATTCAAGTCATTTCAATTGATATTAAAGCAATTAACCCTCATCCTCCCACAAATGGTTGCACGGTTAGGTAACATTGCCACTCACAGTCTCACGTGTCACGAGGAAACCTTAAGCCTTTAGTTCAACAAAAGCATAGAGTACACAGCGGTGGCGCAACGGGGTTGGCCTTCGGTATTTGAAATCCTACGACACTTAGGATGAATCCTGTTGTGGGCCTAGCATCAATTTTTGCATCAGTTTGAGGTCAATCTAGTAGCTTCTGTAATGGTGGGCTCATGGGCCTTTATAGTTGAACTTCCAACGGTGTCAAGACTTCGCATTTGCCTTTCGTTGATAATGCTAGTTGTTTTTGTCTAGTGACACAAACTGTGATAGAAGTAATAGACTATGAATAATTTGAATTGAATCCCTTCTGGTTAGACATATAACAAGACCAAAAAAATGAAAAAATTGGAGAACATGCTACCTTGAACCAGCATGTAACTGCCTGTAAGTTCCACACTCTGGCAATGGAGTCCACCGCCTGCAAGTTCCAGCACCATATATGAAAAAATTGAAGAACATGTTACCTAGAACCAGCGTGCATTGCCTGCAAGTTCCACACTCTGGCAATGGAATCTATCCACCTGCAAGTTCCAGCACTATAGTTGTCACATACGGTAGCGCAACATTTAGTAGAATGCAACAGCTTTAGATACTAGACAGAAGTAAAGAATAGTAGATAAAGAATAATCCATCAATGAATCTGTCACAGCCATCACAGGTCCTCCAAAAAAACACTCTAGCAACCAAATCAATACGAAAACACTGATGAAACCTAAAGGTCAAGGTAAATAATGTGGACACAACTTTGTACTCCAGAAGGATATCAAACGATTACTTGAATGGATACGAAATGAATAAGAGATTCTTTTCTTTCTATATAAGTGAGATTGTATACTTCTCAGCCCTGATTATCCTAACAGTCAAAAGAGTCCATACATTGGAAGATTTACGAAAAATACCTTACATTGGCTTGAGCTGCGAACTTCCATTCTGCATTGGTAAAGTTTTCTCTGGAACTCAAATCTGAAGTAGAAGCACGCTGCTATACTGACAAAGAAACAAGAATATAATCCTACACAATCCACATGAAAAACATTGATTTTAAAGTTACTGCAACTGCATATAAAATCAACAGTGCGTTTGACAGAAAATTAGATTTTTGGATCTGCTGTTGTATACATTAATGTGCTTATATTAATCTAAAGAAATCAAATTGCTAGCAGAACAAAGAACTTGACATGCACCATCCAGAATCTCATAATCTTAATTTAAGCCCTATCATTTTCAATGATTCAGTGGCAACTCTCGAACAAGCAAAGTTATATGAGACTGATAAAGCCTTTGAGAGTTGGGATCAAGGGCTTGGGGGTGCCACCAAAATCTTCACCGTAATTGTTTGATGTTATACTTTTTGACCTGTTAGTTATGAGGATTTTTAAGTATCAAATAATTGAGATTTAGAAAGGAAAATGATGAAAGGGTAAGAAATCATAATTTCACTATTTTGTGAGTAAATCAAACTATATCTCAAATTTAGGCCCAATGAAAGAAAGTAATGCCGAGCAATCCTTTAACTTAGAGAATCTTAATATCGCTAATTTTACCTTTGAAAAAATGTGACTTTATTGGCAATAATGAAAATTGCATACGTCAAAGGATCAATTGCAATTACAAGGATGTGAACGTCCTCATGGCCTAATGGTCACATCTCCTCTGTAAAAGACTTCTCATATAAAGTTTGGCAAGTTGAGGTTCGAGTTCCACCCCTAATGTTCAAAAAAAAAAAAAAACTACAATTACAAGGATAGTCTTTCCTCAAGAAAAAGAATAAATCTGCACTCACAAGAAGGAAAGTAATGTAAAAATAGAAGGAAAGACATCATAAAAGTACCTTGTGTTTTGATCTGGTTTCTGTTTATCATCTTGCAGTGTGGTTTGTTTAGCATCAGCACTTGGTTATGACTTATTCAATGGTCAGAAGTTTATCATTATCATCATCCTCCCAAGTAAACCTCAAATGATTATCAATCCCTAATAAAAATAGCATGGCCTCCTCCATATGCACTTGACACCAATCTCCCGCAACAAATTCACAAACCTGACCATCCACTTCAATTAAGCTACAGCCTGGAACCTTCCTGACCTTCTTATCTTCCATTTCCTCCCTCACCTTTACCACCCCCTCCCATTCGTTAACTGAGGCATACACATTTGACAGGAGCACATGAACCCCATCATGGTCAAGACTTCACTTGGCCAAGCTCTGAACCGTCTCTTTACCCAACTCAACATCACCATGCATTCTACAGGCGTTGAATAATGCACCCAAGACATAGGAGTCTGGTTCCAGTGGCATCTCTCTCACTAATTTCTTTGCATCATCTAGCATCCCTGCTCTCCCCAAAAGATCTACCAAACAGCCACAGTGCTGAACCCATGGCTCAATCCCATAAACCTTGCTCATGTTACTGAATATTCTTGGCCCTTCATCGACCAATCCCATTCGACTGCAAGCACTTAGAATGCATATAAAAGTAACTTCGTTAGGAACAACTCCTTCATTCTGCATCATTACAAACAACTCAAGAGCTCTAGCACTTTTACCACGATTTGCTAGGCCTGAAATTAAAGAAGTAAAAACAGAAACATCCCTATTCTTCATCTCATTAAATGCACAACATGCCATCTCAATGCACCCACATTTTGTGTACATGTCAATCAGTGCAGTGCCTAACAATTTATCCAACTCCATCCCATTTCTATCCACATATGCATGCATCCACATTCCCTGATCCAGAGCACCAAGAAAAGCACAAGCAGTGAGAGCTCCCACTATTGCAGCATGATTAGGACGAACCCCTGAAACCTGCATTTCATTAAAGAGCTCCGGAGCCTCTCTAAGCAACCCAACTTGCACATGCCCGGTTATCATCGCACTCCAAGAAACAGCATTCTTCTCAGGCATTTGATCGAACAGTGGCTGTGCCACCCCAACTTCCCCACACTTAACATACCCATTTATCAAAGCGGTCCATGTAATAACGTCTTGGTTAACACCCATATCAAGACTTTACGTGCTGAGTCCATCAAGCTACAACTCGCGTAAAGATGTATCAGTCCATTCTGTACAAAATCATATGATTCCCAATCCAATTTAATAACTTGGGCACGAGATGCTGCCCCCAAAGACAATTCAGAGACCTCAGTAACAAGCTCGAAGAACAAAAGAGAAGATATAATTATTCGGCATGAATCCACTCTAAACCATTTTCTTGCAGAGAGAAAGGGCTCTAGTGTTTTGGTTTTGTTTCAACAAAAGCTTTGATCATAGTGTTCCAAATGAAAGTGGTTCGATGTTGAAGACGAAGAAAGAGTTTGTATGCGTAAGAGACATCTGCATTGGGTGAGACTGCACAGAAGGATACGATCCTGCCCGCAGCAAAAGGATCCAAAAGGCTAGCTGTAACTGTAAGATGGCACTGTACTTGCTTGATTTGGATCACTGTGATGCATTGATCCAGCAAAAACAGACTTCTTTTGGTGGCCTTTATGTATTTGGAGGCAACAATTGAACCTGACATTACCACTCGTGCTTCTTTGAAAGTTGATACTCCTCCTCACTAACTTATATCTACACGGTGTTTGGTTGCCCAGACAGGCCCGAAGGGCTATCCCGATGAACTTGCTGCCAGCCGCTACTCCAGAATTTTGCTTCTCTTAATTTATACCACGTACACTTCGAAACTAATTTATTTATTTATTTATTTATTTTTTTTTTGTGGTCTATCTTAAGGTCCTAGGCCTCGTACTATTAACAATGGCTTGTTAATTTCTATAGTGTAGTTTTGCCGACGGTATCTTGGTTCAAACCAAATTGGAAAACATAACATTGTCATTTTCACATTTTATTTGATCATCAAAAAGGCATTTTATGACTACTTCCTAATCATAAACACAAATGTACAACACCTAAGAAACGATGCAACTAAGCTTGCAAGGCAAAATGATGGAAACTGTAACTTGTTGGAGAAATAAGGTAGAGAATTTGCAAAAGGCTTCAAGGCGTGTTGCAAATGCCACTTTCCTTTAAGCTAATTTCGCCTCCACCAGATTTGATATGCAAAAGGATAAATTGAAATGCCCATAGAATACAATGAAGCGCCTTATTGATTTAGCCTTTGCACTAGCAAGATCAACCACTAAATTATCCTTTGGAAGGCGGTAAAACAATAGTTTTTGTATAGAAATTCTACAGCAATTACTATACAAAAAGGGGCTATTTTATTTAGATAATAATAGGGATTTGTTATTGTGTTCAATAGACTATGAAGAAGAAGAGATAACTCCACATTTATAGGGGCAAAATGTCTGTTAAGAACAAATGCTCTTTTTCAATTTTATTCGTTGGAAACTCTTCCAAAAATCATTTGATTTAATTTGAATTCTAACTCACATGTTACCTTGCCTTCCAAAGATATCCACTCTTCCTTGAGAATTTTATCAAAATTCTATTTTTTAGTTCTGACATAAATAGTTCGAACCATAAAAATGTGGTTCAAACCAAAATCATATTTTTCGAATTTTGATTTTACATAAATAGTTCAAATCATAATTATGTGGTTTGAACCAAAGTTATATTTTGTCAAATGCATTCTGTGCAATTGTTTTGAACCAATTTTTTGTGGTTCAAACCCAAAACCTAGAACTATTTTGAAAATTCTTCAACATTCCCCAATCATTTTCAAAATAGAATAGCCCACTAATTGTTTTGAAAATCTTATGCATACATGAAGGTATCTTACAATTTGAACATTTTACTTAGTGAACATGTGTTGGCAAATTAGTCAGAATTGCATGGTAGACTAATGCTTTGAAACAACAATTCTAAGCGACTAATTAGGCACATATCACACACAAGACTTCAAGCTTTCAAAAGAAAAATTCAGCATTACTAACACAAAAACTGGCCATGTGTCCTGTATCCTTTTCATGAGTACTGTTAGAGTCAAGTCTTTAACTCCTAGAAGCGGCACCACTTCCACTCATATAGGTAGATCCATCAAAAGTGCCAGCGTATTAAGCACTTTAATAGAAATTTGTTATAGGATCTATTAAGAGTAAAACTCAACCTCCTCTTTATTTCATACAATTACCAAGTACTCTTCTACTTGGGATGGTATTATTAATAAATTGAGTACTTGCAGTCACATTCATATGATGTACTTTACTCATTGAACTTAAGACTTAAAGTTTTTATTAAGCATTAAGTCGAGGTTACTTCATGTGTAACTTTTGTCAATATGGACTTGAGACCCATCCTTCTCTTTGTCTTGTAAGTTTTCTTTTTGATAATTCTTTTATCAAGGATTCAAGAAGTTATTTCACACAAGACCTTGCAAAGATTATGGTGATCACCTCATTTAAGAATTGATTGTTTCCATGTCTACATTTTATGACAACAAGTCTACTATCATATAGACTTCTTAATAAGCACTTGATGACATCCTATTATTTTTAGTCATCATACACATTCATATAAGAATGTCTTAGATTAATATGAACTCTTGAAAAGTGTAGACATATCCAAGAACAAGTGCTATCACTTTTAAATAGTGCCGTATAACTTTGTAATACCATGAACAAGTAGAATTTTTGCTTCCTCTACTTCCAAATTAAATTTTATTTGCTTTTCATGTGTCAAGGACTTTTAGTCCTTATTCCTCTCACTCTTGGGATTGTTCCCACTATTTTAAATGACATCAATATTCCTCACGAGAGACATTTCAAGATAAATTTTGATTTATCAAAAATGGTTCAATTCATATAAATATGATTTGAACCAAGTTCCTAATACTTTCTGAGTTTTTTGTGTAATTGATTTGAACCAAAATCTAGGAACAACACCAGGCCTCCAAAAATGAACCAAGTGCAAAAGTTTGCACTAGCTTCTACAAGTTATCTCATCAAGGATCTAAAAATCCTTTATGGCCAAAGGCCTTGTTAATCCTTAATGAAAAAAATTTTTTTTTTTTTGAGAACCTTTTCACTTGGTCTCTCTCATCTCTTGTATTTAACAAGTAAACATGATATAATTTTGAATAATCATCAATAAAAATAACATAATATTTCTTGCCACCAATAGTAGAGTACTATGCATGTCACAAATATCACCATGCACAAGTTCAAGCAATTTAGAAATTCTTCAATCATAGGAAAAAGAATTTTAGTAATTTTAGTAAGTATACATGTCCTGCATTGTGATTCATTTTGAGGCAAGATAGGAATTAATTCTAATTTAGACATCTCATGCATTGTCCTAAAATTAACAAGTCTTAATTTATGATGCCATAAATTAAATGAGTCAAGAATATAAGCAGAAACAACACCATTATTATTAGTATTATTATTCATGTTCATCTTGAACATACCTTCACAAGCATAGCCTTTTCCTACAAAAATCCCACCATTGGACAAAATAAATTTGTCTACGTCAAATACAAGTTTAAAACCAAATTTGTTCAACAAACTTCGTGAAACTAGATTTTTCCTGATATTTGGCACATAATGCACATCAGTAAGTGACACGTGCCATGGTCAAGAATCCACTTGTGCGCTCTTGCACAGGCATTGTCTTGACCACCATCAGGTCCTTCCCCAAGAATACGCATGCAAATGTAGTTAAGAGCGGTAGAGAACATGCTATTGTGGCTTCCAACGTGAAATCCCCATCCACCATCTTCATTCTACAAGGCACAAAAATGGATTAGCAATCCAATGCACAAGTATCTATCAAGTGAACAGAAAATTTTGTGTGTCTATGACTCTATATACATGTAGTCTGAACCTGATGATAATATATGTATCGAAGAATTTCTTTACGATGCTCTGCAGGAAATAGAGTGCTGAGATGACTTGTGATGTACAAGGCAAACACCTGTGTGTAACAATTGTAACTAATTAGCACTTGAGTGATGCATGATGATGTGGTTTAAAAATTTTGAATTAATTTCTGACAATGGGCTCACCAAGGGTGGAAGGAAATACGATGGGCCTGCATTTTCGGTGGGCCAATGTCCATCACTAGCTATGATCAATCCATTCATTTACCGTCCATTTTCATCGGTAAATGACATCATGTGAGACAGAATGTCTTGCATTAGAGATGCTCTGTTCTCAGCAAGATCAATCTTCCTTCGCTTGATGATTGCCATAAGATCCTTTCTGATCAAGCCTGAAGGCTTGATGCCACGCCGGAAAGGCGTATACCTGGCAGGTCTATAGGAATAGAGAGGATTGCAGAAGCCAGAGCATTGAAAGGGCTGGCTAGTTTGGCAACATGGTCTGGCTCCTCTATGCTCAAAAAACCTTTGCAAGCAACCCAGAAAGTGTTGAGCTAGCCCTCCCAAGTTGGGTGGCTCAACAATGTAGGTGCACCATGAGTGCACGGTGAATGGCAGAAAACTTGAGAAGTTTGGTTTTGAAGATGAACAGTGGATCCCGACACGGACATTTCCAATTGTTGAAGAAATGGGAAAAGCAAAGTGGACTCCTCCAACTTTGG